TTCTTTCACAGTATTTTAACTAAAGGTGTAGCTTTTGCCTAATGGGAATTATATTTACACAAAGAAATCCCACAAAATTTAAAAGAAATTATACCACCTTGGATCGATGTGGAGAGAGACGATATAAACTGAAAAAGAAGCCTACGACAAACAAATAGAAAGCAGACCAAGAACGCCACTCAGCAAAACTGGGCTAATTTATTAATGAGAAAGGAAGACTAAGAAGGCAAAACAGCCCAGAGGGTTGGGTCAAGTCAAAAGCTATAGAGAATAATTCTCAGGAGGTAGGACTGGGCCCTGATCAAGAAAGTGGAAATGTGTGCCTGGCTAGATTTCAAAATTGCTATGAATCACGAGGGCTCTGTGCCTCCCCTTTTCACACTTTCTGAATGTGAGTAGTTACCCTTCACGTGTCTCACCACTGTTACATTAGTCCACAGATTCTTCAAATTGAGAAGACCGATGCAAGGAGTTGTACTCGAATAACCACTCCTAAGGAGCTTCACCTGTACCTGGACCTGATTTAGCTAAGATCTTGCACCTTCAGCCTTAGCTGAAAGGGATGTTTATTTTGCAAGCGGCAGAAATGTATGTAATTTGTGACAGAGGGCAGACTGCGGTGGGTTAAGGTGGCATGTCTTCCATCTAGAGGTGTGGTCTATGATCCCCTCACCTTGAATTTGAATAGAACCTTTGACCAGTAGAGTTGGGAAAAAGTTATGCAGTGACAGATTGGGGGCCCAAGACAAAAGATACCAGCAGGTTCCCCTTCTTGTCACTAGGGACACTTTTCTCTTAAAGTTATAAGCTGCTATGATAAAAAGTCCAAGTACTCGGATACCAACCCACCATGAAGAAGCCCAAGATAACCGCTTAGAGAGACTATGTGGAAACAGTGATGCCAGCCAGCCCCCAGGGGGTGCAGCCATCCCAGCCCAGGCTTTAGGTATATGAGTGAAGTCAGCTCAGGCCTTCCAGAGAAGTCCAGCCATGAGGCGACCACTGAGTGAACCAAGCCAATGCCACATGGAGCGATTTTTCCAGCTGAGTCTGGTTGAGTTTCTCACTTGTAAAAATGAAAGATATAATAAAATGATCACGGTTTCAAGCCACTGAGTTTTGTGGCAGTTATATGGCAATGGACAACTGGAGCAGGAGCACTGCCTCTGCTTAGCCTATAGATTCTTGAACTGTCTGGCAACAATGATGACCAGGGCCTTCCAAAAGGAGGGGTACAGAGAGAGCCTCATCCCTTCTCATACCAGTTTTACAGAACCTAACAAGGAAGATGAGGTGTGAGAGTCTGCCACAGATGTATGGAATGTGGGAGAAACAACTTAAATGATTAATGAGGGGCCGGGCCGGTAGCATAGTGGTTAAGTTCACATGCTCCACTTCGGTGGCCCAGGGTTCACCAGTTTGGATCCTGGATGCAGACCTACACACCGCTCATCAAGCCATGCTGTGGTGGCATCCCATATACAAAACAGAGGAAGACTGGTAGAGATGTTAGCTCAGTGACAATCTTTCTCAAGCAAGAAGAGGAAGACTGGCCAACAGACATTAGTTCAGGGCCCATCTTCCTCACCAAAACGAAAAACAAAAGGTTAATGATAAGAAGCAACTTGGATGGAATAGAGTTGAGGTGAACTTTACATAACAAAGCATGGATTCTAGCTGGTAGAATAGAAGCAGTTTCTATTTAGTCATATAAGGATGAAAGTGAACAGGGTTAACTGTAGGGAAAATGATCACATAGGTCAACTTTTCCTTCCGTCTTCTCTTCTCAGAATCATCAAGTAAAAAGATATGGTATCAAGGATCATTGCATATAGTGTAAATCAATTTCATTCAATGCTTATCTGGTAAATCCTTGTGACTAAAATGTACAATGAAAATTTTCCTATCTCAAGAAAAATTTCAGGCATAAGGGAACAAGTAAGAAGGATTTCTGAGGGGTAAGAACGAATCTTCCTGTTGGCCCAAAACTAACACCCAGTTACTGTGAAGACAAACCTACTTTAGCCATTTTAATGTATGGGGGCATGGGGTGGTGGTAGCATAGATATGAAGGAAATGTCTGTGGTCTTAAGAAAATATGATCTCTGCCAGCTTGGAAGAAATGAATCCTACTGCTGCTGACAAAAGAGAACATGTTCCAGCTTCTGGGGTTTCTAATTTATTCCAGCAATAGTTCTGGATGCTTCCTTCCAGCTAAACATAAACAGCCAGATGGAAGGGATCCAGAGCACCTGGTCAAGGATATTCCTTCTCGCACCCACAGACCACTCTTTAGGTGAGTCAATTCACAGCTCATCTGCAGGTAGAATGAAAAAATGGATATACTTCCGAAGAGTCCCTCATATGGCAAGGATAGGGAAAAGCCAGAAAGCATGCCCACACCATCTCTTTTGGAGCGAGATCCAGAACCTTTAATTACTACTCTATGTCAGAGTGTGACAAACAATTAAAATGTTATCAAGGAAAACTCTTAATAACAAAGCTGTTTATAGACACAGAACAACAAAAAGAGAATAAGAGAAAACTTGGATTGGCTAGACAAGTTGTACTAATTACAGTAATTTCAGTGAATTCCTTACCCCTTAATTATCATGTAGCACAAAAATGATTATGTGTGCTGTGAAATGTATTTGATCCAGCTATAAGCGGCACTGAACAGTTCATATGTGCCAAGTCATGTAGCACAAGCATCTGTATTGCTTTCACAAATCACTGGAAAACACAGATGTTTTGAGAATGAAGATCTAAGTACCCAGTTATTAGAAATAAGAATGAGTGATGATGAGGGACTGAAAATTCAGTGACCTGGAAAGAAAACGTTCTTTGGATACTCTTCTAAACCTTGTGTGGAATATCTAAGGGCCAAGGCAATTGCTCCACAAAAGCAGTTTCTGTGCCGTGAAGGAATCAAAAAACTGTGGCAAGATGGTGAGTAGTGCACAGTGCACAAACTTCTGTGCCCAAGAGTCGTACATATTAACAGCCATGAGGCCATTATGTCTTCATCAGCTATGAAAACATCATGAAGCATTCATAAGTTTTTTTTATGGTAATCTACCATTTTAGCTTTCTCTGGCAACCTACAGTGAAGCACACATGGTGGTATAGACAGGAAAAATAATGGAGAGGAAGAGTGAGAGAACCATGCTCTGTGAGAGGAAAGAGTGTCCAAAACAGCTGAGCTGGAGACGAGTGAGAGTGGGGGCAGTCTGGTGGAACTGCAAGAAACACTTCAGGACAGAGGCAAGAAATGACACTTGAGAACTGAGAAAGGTACTGATCATGAAAACCTCCTGAATTCCCCACTAAAGAGTATGAAATGTTAGCCTGAGAGAGATATGGAAGTTATTTAAGAAAGCAACATGCTCATGTTTATAAAGATTCTTCTGCATACTGTATGAGTCCATTTACGTGAAGTCAAAAATAGGAGAAACTAATCCATGGAGTTAGGGGACAGGCGAGCAACCACTCTCGAGGGGAGGCACAGTAACTGGAAGGGAATATGGGGAAGCTTCTGGTGGGCTGCTAATATTATGTTGCTTAACGTGAGTGCTGTATATGAGCTCACAGGTGGGATCAGTCTGCGAAAAATTCACTAGCTGTAGACGTATATATCCACTTATTTGAATGTTAAGTTATACTTCAATAAAAAACTAAAGACCAAAAAAGATTACTTTGGCTGAAGGACAGAGAAATGAGATGAAGGAGACAGGCAAGAGAGGATGGAGGCTGACCTAAGGGAGCAGCAATGGGCTGGGCATTACCACAGGAACTAATGCGCCACAAAGGATCTGGTGGCTGAAGACCTACAGAAAATGAAAGAACAAGAGGAGTCAAAGAAAACCTGAGGCTGCAGGTTTGAAGATGGGGTAGGTGGCTCTGCTGCGTGCTGGTAAAGGGCAAAAAGGAGGGAAGCCCTCCTACCTTCCAGCTCCTCATTCATAAAATGAGAAAATATGCCCAAGACAATCCTTAAGGTCCTGAATATGCGAGACCTCAAAAAGAGCTACTTCAAGCTAGTAATAGTAAGAATCAGCTAGGGTATCTGTTTGGACTGGCTGAGAATGACTGTGGCCTGTAAACACCCCTCTCCTCCAGCTACACCTAGGTCCAGTGGTTGGGCACTCAAAACAGTGGTGTTACGGTTCGAACTGGATCATCTCTTATAAATCACGCTCCACAGATCAAACACTTGGAGAAGTAGTTCGCAGCAGCTGAATGGTCTGGGGAAATTAAAGACCATGAAAGAACATCTTTACCAATGGATTAAGAACATCTCAAAATAAAACGATTAGGTATGTTCCAGTAACTTACTGCTTGATGCGGTAACCCAAGATGGAAGAAAACTACTTCTGAGGGTAAAATGGGGAAGAGGTGAAGAGGTTTTTGAAAATTTCACATATTCATGCCTGGAATGCTTTAAAATGCTAAATTAACACAAAGCAGGGAAAGTAACATTCTCTCTTCTTTTTAAATATGCTGTGGAGCCAATACTATGTTATAAATAGAGAAAACCACCCCCAGAAAAGCTGGCAAATTCAAGAAGAAAAAGAGCTATTTTAGGTTCCTTCTCTCTCCTTTCAGTCTGTAAGAGCAGGGTGAAGTATTTATACAAAGAAACAGATTTTTGTCTTAAAAATCACACATATTTCAATCTGGTAGAAATTGAAACAATAGTCCAAGACAAGTTCTGCAGGCAAATTAGAGAGACTTAAAATTCTGCCTTCAATTTCTGCAGTCTTCACAAGGCTGAATGACACAATGAATGCATCAAAGGCAGTCACCCTTTAGGACCAAGTCTACTATTTCTACCATCCTCCTCCTGCTTGTGGAATTCTTAACCTAGAAACGTCATTCAAGGAAATAGCCACCTCCTATTGGGTGCAAGGCTCTTTATACTAAATGTTCCCAATAACCTAAAAACAATACGACCATTCATGGCTTAAGAGAGCACTGGAAAAGGGCTGTCAGGGGCAAACCTTGGCTTTGGTTGCAGCTGAGGCAAGAGCAGCTGCTGCGGCTGTGGCTACATTTCCTTCAGAGATTTCATGTTCTACTTTTTTCTTTCCAATATCACTTTCTCTTTCTTTACAAGTATCAGTGAGTTCCTTGTTCTCATCAGTCTCCTTTTCTTCTGAAAAAGATCAGAAAGCTTTATTACCAGCGTGCCCAGTCTCAATAAGCCATCTTATTTCTCACCTCTGCCACATGACAAACTAGGACTGACGTTACAAAGAGATCTCAGTGTCTATTTTTCTTTTTAAGATTTTTGCTGAACCATTCCATGTATATAAGTCTGCCTCTATTTGAGATGGATTTTCTAAATAGCACACTTTGTCTTCCCTTCACTTCTCTAAGCTCTCTGTGTAGTTCCCTTGGATATAAAGGAAAATTCAGGGGAACCAAGCCCTAAGACCAACACATTTGTTCATCAGTCAATGAAACGCTCTGGGAAACCCTAGGGTCTGGAGGAAATCAGAAATCGAGAACACAGCACTTCTGCAAGTGTTCTGAGAGAGGCACGATGGGATATGCCAGCAACTGGCACCGAAAATAAAATAAAAAGCTAGGTGTGAATAACTTGAGTCACGCTGAACAACTTGAGTGTATATAAACAACTGAAAACAATCTAGCCACTAACATTAGCACTGGTATCTACATACAAAATAAAACTCAAACATAGATTTATTGTTACATTAAGAAATAACCCAAAATAAATGAGGAAATATTTCTACACAATTAAACTACCCACATTTCTCTAGTACTTTTTTATAGTTTTACATAATAAAGCCTAAAGAGTTTCTTTAAATTACCTGATTTGGCATCCTCACTAACTTCACTATCCTGTTCCTTCTCACCATTTTTTTCATTTTCTCCATCTTGTGCTTTATCACCTTCATCTGTTTCATTTTCCCCTTTATTTTCTGCCTGAAAGGGGTACAAAAAAAGAGGATAGAAAGTGATCAAAAAATGGTCCTTTTACAAGTGATATTATCTTAGAATAACAAAAAGTTTCACTATTTTTTGGCAAGAAGGGGACTAAGTTCAGAAGGGTCTTGGAGAGAAAAGCTGGAACAGAAATTAATAAATTCAGGAAATATCTTTCACTATCTCAACACCTCAGTGCTCACAAGATAATACACCTCAAAATCCCATAGTCCCTCCCTTCTCTGCACCCTCTGCTATAAGGCCAGGGTTACGATGTCCAAAGGAATGTCAGGGGAATTCATTTATATTATTTATCAGTAAAATAGATAAATACTTAGTAAATAAATAATTGATTAGTTGTTCAAAAGGACCAAGGGCGTTTAAAATGCACGTTACCAACCAAGAAGATGGAATGCTGCTGAAATAAAAAGTTGACAAAGCGCTCCCCACTTTTTTTGAGGAAGATTAGCCCTTAGCTAACTGCTGCCAATCCTCCTCTTTCTGCTGAAGAAGACTGGCCCTGAGCTAACATCCGTGCCCATCTTCCTCTACTTTATATGTGGGGCGCCTACCACAGCATGGCTTTGCCAAGCGGTGCCATGTCTGCACCCAGGATCCAAACCGGCGAACCCCAGGCTGCCAAAGTAGAACATGAGCACTTAACCACTGCGCCACCAGGCCGGCCCCGACAAAGCCCTTTAATACAGCCATTTGCTAATGGTTTCTAAGAGAGCATCAGTGATCATGCTCTGAGGACTGAAAACTTCAATTTCTCTGGTATTTGGTATCATTTGCTGATTTTGAAATCCTGTGACCTTGACAAATTATGTAACATTGGCTATAAAATGGAGACTATCAGTGACTTGATGACGCTGTTTTAGGAATTAGATGAATCCAGAAATGTAAAGTACAAAACATACTATTTGGAACATTGTGAGAATCATAATTAATTTTACTATTATCCTCATCCTCTCCTTATCTATATACAATTTTAAAACACATGCTATCAAGACTTTAAATTCTCTTTGTATATATTCACTTGACTAGTGATTAAATGCTCATCATGTGGCCCTGACTTGAAGAGGCTGTAAAGTCCTGTTCTGCCTAGCTCACCTCGCATTCAGAGCCTCTGCAAGACAGGGATTGGGTCACAAACATACCGAGCACTGTGACGCCCTCTGCATACTGGCCTTAGTGTCTCCCCTCCAATGCCAGTAGGAATCTTCAATTCCCTATCCTCCAATTCAATCTTATAGTTCTACTTGTTCTTTAAAAACTATCTCAAATGTCACTTTGTCATTAAGTCTTTTCTAAATATTTTTCTACCAGCAGTTAACTCTTCTAGAAAATCCACTAACATTCTAAGGTTCTCTTCTGGTACAAGAACAGAACCCAAACCCTACAATTCAGTATTCATAAGAACCACAACTTTTGTTTTCATATTCCCAATTGTGCCTGAAAGGAGTGCAAAAGAAGAGGTTAGAGAGTGGATAAATCTTCCCTGAACGAATAAGTGAAAAATGTCCAGTATTATGCTTTGTGAAAACTATACCTTAAACCAGCAAAATCCAAATGGCTGATAGAATCATTTGTAGTCCCCTGAGAGGGATTCAAAAGACCAAAATCAACCCAAACCATTATGCTATGAAAGGCATGCTCTCTGTGGCTTTTCAAACATAGACTTCACCTTTTCAGGCTGCTGACCATCAGTATCTGTTTCCATTTTTTCCTCTTCAGCTCCTTCTACAAGCAAAAGAATAAGAACAAGTAATACAATATGGAAAAATAGTAAAAGCTATTATATAGCTGTGAAAGTATCTGAAATTCAATTACACATAGTAATATGGATGGAAGTCATAACCTTATAAGGTGACATAAGAAGTCTGACATAAAATAATACTTTATATTAATGTTCAAAAACAGGTGATAGTTAACCAGGGAAGGGGTGGGTAGACAGAAAGTGGGTTCAAGGGGGTGGGGATTGGTGTGCTGGTAATGATTTGTTTCTTGATCTTGCGGCTGCTTACATGAATGCGTTAATTTGTGACAATGTACTGAGCTTTCCATTGAAGGTTTTCACTTTTCTCTATGTATAAAAACAAAAATCTTTAAATAAAAAAGCCAAAAATAAAGAAACCTGTTACTATTTAACAGACACTTGATGAGTACACAGTTTGAGTCAGGTACTGGAGAAACAATGCTGAGCTAGATCTTCACTGAACCTCAGGAGCATCACATTCTGGCTGGAGAGGACACAAACCAACAAGTCCACCATGTATGCGCAGACATGAGACGCTGTGGGAAGCAGAGAGGGCACAGCTGTTTCAGTCAGGGAAGGAGAACGACTACATACGCATTTTCTAGGCAGACGTGGTGGTGTGAAGGGCGGTGGAAGACAGTGGTAGTATATAGAGAGAAGGACATTTCAAGGAATGGAGACAAAAAAACTCAAGGGTGCAGGGGAAAAATGTAAATCGTTGGTGATGACTAGAAAAGGGAGGACAGATAAATCGGAAAGAGGGAGATAATGCTGGTAACGGCTACATAATGAAGAGCCTTGAATGCGGTGCTAAGGGCATCTTAACTATATCCTGTAGACAAGTTAATGAAGATTTTAAAAACAAAACAACACAATCAGATAAATACTTTTTGTTTCTGAACTTTATACAGAAACAGATATATCAAACATAATGAGGGTTTGCTGTGGTTTTAAATAAAAACATTCAAATATCCCATAGCGTGAATTTTTTTATTATTCTCTTATAAACAACAAAACTAACAGCATTTATCCCCAATGAGAATATTTAAACATATTTCAACAAACATATTTAAAACTAACAGTGTTAAAAAGTTACCGAATAGAAAAATCTCTCTTCTCTTATTCTTGAGGATGAGGTCAGATCCTTCCTGCTTCCAGAATTATGGCTGACTAGGAACTCCAAGGGACGTGATATTTTGGGACATAATGAATCTCACATAAGGTAGAAAAGCTCTTAAAGATCACCTTCCAAAAGCCTACAGTACCAGAAGTGGGACCAAAGCATGGAAGAAGTGGGGCCATGATCTAGATATTTGGAAATTTGGAGGGCCAGGGTCACCTAGACATACTAGGGCCATGGAATAGCCAGGTCCAGGGAAGAGAAAGGAATCCCAGGCACAGAGCCAGCCACACGGTGGCCAATGTGATCTCAAGCCAGTGGCAACCAATGGCCACCAGAAGCAGCAGAATTCTCTGCAGACAGTTTTTCCAATCCCAATTTTAGTCAAGGAGATATCCAAGCAATGAATTCACAAAAAGCAAATACCAAAAAAGGAAGCCACTAAGACTGAGCAGAAACATTAATCAACAGATTCAGAACTCAAGGATTGACAATACGAGATCTGTCAGATCCTGAATCTGGCACAGCCATGGACACAATATGTAAATAAATAAAAGAGAATCATAAAGATCTCCAATCAACAAGCGAGTATTAGAGATGATCAGAGATTTAAAACAAAAACAAAAAATTTTCTAGAAATGAAGTCAGGGTAAACAGATTAAATCTGGTGAAAACTGTAAATCATGTCTAAAGAAATGATCCATTATAGAACAGGAGGATGGAAAATATGCAAATATGGAAAAGGATATGCCAGGCAGAAACGAATCCAAGAAATGGTGGCCTTTCCATGGTACTATTACTCAGTATAGGCATGAAGAATAGAGTATTTTTAGAAATAAAGGGTAACAATAAATTGAAGAAAAGGTTTAATTGACCAGAAAATTGTTAATTTTTATACTTTTAGAAACCTAAGAGTGTCAAATTATATAGAGCCAAAAGTGACAGACAAAACTGACAGAAATGAAAATGTACATACTTCTCTCAGTTAAGAATACACGGTGGATGTGAACACAGCAAAATGGTTCTAATGTATACACGCAGAATTACATCCACCAATTAGAGAATATATACACATTAATTTCAAGCTCACATGGAACATTTTAAAAATACTGATCACAAATTAAGTCATTAAGCAAGTACTCATAAATTTCAAAAAGTCAATGACACACAGTCCAAGTTTTCTCACCACAATGCAATGAAATTAGAAGTTTAAAATACAGAGATAAATTTCTCTGTGCTTAGAAATATAATTTTGGGAATCAGTAAAAATAGCACTTTTAAATGTAAAGCCTTATATTTACATTAGAAAAGGAAAAATGTTTCAAAGTTTATGAACTATACATACCCTTTATAAGAAAGCAGAAAAAAGAATAACAGAATACAAAAGGTAGGGAGAAAAAATAGGGTAAAAATCAAAGAAATAAAAAACAAAAATACAATACAGAGTTTAAAAATATATAACAGAGAGAATCAATATACTCCAAACTTGGTTCTCTAAAATGATTAATAAAACTGATAAATCTCTGGTATGAAAGATCAAGAAAAGATAAGGTACAAACTAGTTATATTAAGAATGGAAGGAAGAAGGGTCATAACTATTGATAAAGCAGAGGTCAAAAAGGAAGTGATAAGGTACTCTGAAAAACTTTATACCAAGCAAAACAGAAAAATTAGATTAAATGCCCAAATTATTAGAAAATTTATTTTACCAAACAGATTCAAGAAGAAAAGGAAGTCCTGAGTCCTATGATAGAAAACAAACAAAAACACCACAGGTCCAGATGTTTTTTACTGGGGAATTCTACCAAACTTTTAGGGACAAGATGATCACAATCTCACATAAACTTCTCCAGAGAATAGGAGAGGGAATACTCTCTAACTCATTCTATGAGGCCAGTATAACCCTGATTCCCAAATCAGATATGGACAACAGCTAAGGAATATTGGAGGCCACGGGGCTAAATCTCATTCATAATCACAAATAAAAAACTCCTAAGCAAACTAACTGAAAACAGAACATAGCAGTATGTAAAAAAAGCAATACATTATGACAAAATAATATGACAGCAACAGAAAGGTGACTTACTGATTAAACATTAATAAGTCTATAAACTCATTTGATCACATGCATGAAAAGTGTCTGATAAAACTCATTATCATTCATGACAAGTTCCTGGAAAATCAGGGATACAAGGAAAGTTCCTGAGCTCTCAAAAGACTGTTATCGGGGCTGGCCCCGGGGCCGAGTGGTTAAGTTCGTGCGCTCCGCTGCAGGCGGCCCAGTGTTTCGTTGGTTCGAATCCTGGGCGCGGACATGGCACTGCTCATCAGACCACGCTGAGGCAGCGTCCCACATACCACAACTAGAAGAACCCACAACGAAGAATATACAACTATGTACCGGGGGCTTTGGGGAGAAAAAGGAAAAAAAATCTTTAAAAAAGAAAAAGAAAAAAGACTGTTATCAATAATCCTACAACAAATGTCATTCCTCATGGAGAGATTCCTAGAGTATTCTCTTTAAAATCAAGAGCAAGACACAGATACCAGTATTACTATTTCCCTTCAATATCGTCATGGAGGTCATAGCCAAGGTAGTCAATTAAGAAAATTAAATTAGGGCCCACCCCATGGCCGAGTGGTTAAGTTCTCGTGCTCCGCTTGAGTAGCCCAGGGTTTTGCCGGTTGGAGTCCTGGGCATGGACATGGCACTGCTCATTAGGCAATGCTGAGATGACATGACGTCCCACACACCAGAAGTAGAAGGACCCAAAACTAAAATAGGCAACTATGTACCGCCGGGATTTGCGGAGAAAAAGCAGAAAAAAAAAAAGAAAAGAAAAGAAGATTGGCAATAGTTGTTAGCTCAGGTGCCAATCTTTAAGAAAAAAAATTAAAGAGGGCTAGAAAGGAAAGAAGAAAACAGTTATGATTTGCAGAAAATAAAACCATACCTAGAAGAATGTGCAGAAAAGTTACCAGAAATAATCACAGGGTTTAGCAAGGTGGTTAGCTACAAAATTAACATACAAAAGCAACTGCATTTCAGTATGTTAACAAAAATCAATTCTAGATAAAGACATAGGTGAAAAAATAAAACGAATGATATCTTAAAAATATGATGCAAAAAGTGCTAACCATAAAATAAAAGACAAACTATTAAAATCAAAGACTTCTTTTCATTAGAAGATGCCAAAAAGAAAAAACAAGTAACAGTACGGGAGAAAACACAAGCAGCACGTAAGTAAAAGATCAGTTTATCAGATTTACACAGAAAAATATGAAAAGTGAGCAAAAGACAAGAACAGTTGTTTTACAGAATGACATATGACCAACAAATCTAAGATACTCAAATTAGTTCAGAGAAATGTAACTTAAAACCACAATGGAATGTCATTTTATATAAACTACATCAGCAGAGTCTAACACTAGGAAGTGTCGGATCAAGTGTTACTGGTCGAAGTGTCAACTGGTACACCTACTTTGGGGAAAAAGCCTGGCATTTCCTAAAACAGTACAACTCATAGGACGAGTCCACAACAAAATAAGGAGTTAAGCAAGAATGTTCAAGGTTTGATGTTCAAAAATGTTCAATGCTCTTCCTTTCCTTTATCAAGAAATTCACCTTACGAAAAAGTGACAACTGAATTAAACAGATAGCTTAGCAATGCAAACTCCTGATCTTAAAGTGGCAACCGGTCCACCAACCACACTTTGAGTAACACTGTATCTAAGCAAAACCCTGTATAGGTGTACTGTGAGGCATGTAAAAGATTGCACACGCAGGTCTGAAATAGAAAAAAAAGCAGGAAACAACCCAAATTACCCATCCAGTAACAGGAGAATGGATAAATAAGTTGGGTT